AAAACAAGCCACCCAAACAAAGGGAAGACTGCATTCTGTGGCTTTTCTTCTCTCGTCCCCATGGGCCTCATCAACACTGCCCACGTCACTCCCTGCATCTGTGGGGTCACCCAGTGGTGAAGTCTCAGGAAAAAAAAACAGGGAGCCAGGAGCTCCTGCTTCCCAACATTCCAGAAACTATTTGAGGAAAAGCCCATAGACTAGCAGGAGGATTAGGCCTCTCTTGCCCCCAAAGGAAGCTGCAGCAGGTGGGAGCAGGCTCACCCAGACCAGCAGTTACAAAGCAAGTAACAGGCTAGGCGGATCTGCCTGCATGCCCAAGGCTCTGGGAGGCTGAAGCAGGAGGATCTCTTGAGCCAGGAGTTTGAGGCTACAATGAACTGTGATGACACTACTGCACTCCAGCTGGGATGACAGAGCTAGACCCTGTCTCAAAAAAGAAAAAACCAAAACAAACAAAAACCCCAAATCAAGAGATAACCTAGAAGGTGCAAGAGTGGTCACTTCGCACAGGAGAAGAGCACCGGGCCGCCTCTCCCAGCCCTTGAGCAGCTCTCTGGATGCAGGAGCCGCCAGTTCCAATTCTCTAGGGCAGGAGAGAAATTCAGAAAAGGTAGAGGCGATCACATAATTTCATGTTCTTTAAAACCACTTGAAAATATTCTTTAATAGCCAGGCCTTGTGGCAGGCACCTGTAATCCCAGGTACTTGGGAGGCTGAGGCAGGAAGATTGGTTAAGCCTAAGAGTTTGGAGTTGCTGTGAGCTGTTACGCCACGGCACTCTACCTAGGGTGACAGAGTGAGAGTATATCTCAAAGGAAAAAAAGAAAGAAAGAAAATATTTTTTAAATGGTTTTCAATTCATACTCTAAACTACTTACTTGTTGATACTTCTGACAATCTACTCTGGGCCAAGGTATGGTCTAGACTCCAGAGGCACACTTGAAGGGGCCAAGTCCCTACTGATAGGCAGAGACACACACAGGTGTGAGGCTGTCATGGGTAAGACACCTCCCAACAGAGCAGGAACAGAGGGAGGGCCTGTGAGCTGGCACAAGCTTGTTTTTCAAACAAGCAGGAAGGGCAACCTAAATGCCATTGGTGTTTTAGGACCCACACACATGACACAGTGAATAACATTCTAAGAACCAAATCCATTTTAGAAAAAAAGTATTAAAGATGCATTCCTTCCTCCCAACATCAACTAGAGCCACACAGCATACCCTTCTCTCTAAGTTCTCCTAAAATGTCTTGAACATTTGGATTCTGCTCCTCAAGGTCCAGGTTAAGCGACCCTGTGTCAGGAAAGGACTTCAGAATGTCGGCGACCATGAGCACCCACGGGTCCGAGTCGAGTGTGGCGAGCTGGATGATCTCCATCAGGGCACCCTTCATCTGCCGAGAGAGGAGACGCTGTGCAGGGGAGGTGGCCACTGTGCCTACCCAGATGCCTGCAGTGCCACCCAGACACCAAGGTTTTGGGTGGGCTCCCCTCCCTATGCCCTTCTGCCACCCAGCTTTCCTGAGCTGCCACAGCCTCTGCCAGCATACAGGGCTCCCCACAGCACCCCATTCTGGGTGTGCACTGGAATGAAGACTGAAGGCCACTTCCATTCAAGAAACCTGATGGGGGAAGCACTGGGCAGGCAGGCAGGCCGGCCCAGATAACTCAGAGCAACCAGGAGCACACTAGATGTAAAGAAACCAAATGGTGTATGTAGAACAACAGAATTTATATCAGTGAAAAATATATGACCCCTGGCTCCATGCCTGTAGCATAGAAGTTAGGGCACCAGCCACACGCACTGAGGCTGGCCGGTTCGAATCCGGCCAGGGCCAGCTAAACAATGACAACTGCAACAAGAAAATAGCCAGGCAATGTGGTGGGCGCCTGTAGTCCCACCTACTTTGGAACTACTCTTGAGGCAAGAGAATCACTTCAGCCCAAGAGTTTGAGGTTGCTGTGAGCTGTGATGCCACAGCACTCTACCAAGGGCAACACAGTAAGACTGTCTCAAAAAAATAAATAAATAATAAAAATATATGGCCCCAAAGATGTGAAACTTGCTCAAATAAGATCTATGATGGCAAAGAGCATAGGAAAAGATGCTGCTAGTCATGATGGAAATGCAAACTGAAACCTATGACAGTGCCTGACCCTAAAATGCTGACAAGGACCCAAAGTGTCAGAACCCTCACAAGCTGACGCAGAGGGAAATTCAAGGTCACTCTGAAGAACAATGTGACCGTGAAACACCTGCAGTACACCCTGGCCACCAGCACCCAGGGCTTTCCCAGAGAAATGACTAACAGTCTGCACAGCCACATAAGGACATTACTTAGCAAAAACTCACAAACCATTAACATGCCCGGATGAAGCTCCACATAGTGACACTGAGAACAAAGAAGCCAGGCAAAAGCATACTGAGGGCCCATTACCTACTACTGTAGAAAATGCCAGCTCACCTGTAAGTGTCACTTTAGCACGAGGAGGACACAGGTGAGTTACAAAGGGTCAGGAGGTGGGTATTCCATTACCTTCACTGTGGTGGTTTTCCAAGAGCACACACCACACTGCTTTAGATATGGGTAGTGTATGGCAATCACATTTTTTAAAAAGCCTGGAAACAAGAGTATTTAAAGAAAAGCCAGGAAAAGACACACATTAAACAGAAGAAAATGGCTGCTGCTTATGGGGAGAGTGGAGTAATCTATGGGAATAAAATAAGAGGCTTTGTAGGAAAGAAAATCAGTAATAACAGAGGAAAGAATGATGGATAAATAGAATAAGCCAGACATGATCCAGACTGCAACAGACTTGGAGGGGTCACTGGTACAGAGGAGGCCACTGGTGTGGAGGGGGCTAAACAGCAGGAGACAGACAGGGACAGTCCTCCTTGGACAGTCAGAGAGTGAGGAAGGAGAGAGCAGGGCAGAGGCAACAGCTGATGAGACGACAGCTGAGAATTTTTTCTAGATCTGATAAAGGATAATCATAATTTTAAGAAGCCAAACAAACTTCGTAGACTAAATTAAAACTTTTCCACCAAAACACAGCCTAAGGAACTGCACCCTTACAATGTGAAGCTACTGCCCCAGTCCAATCTGCTTAAGACAACCAGGGTCCAAACCTGGGGTCCAACAAGGTCAGTGAACTGACCCACACCCGTGCACACAGAAGGAGAACAGAGAGAGCAGACAGGTGCTGGGGGAGGCTGCATTCAGGTAATGTTCCAAGAAAGTGATGAGTCTCTGGAGAAGGTCAGCATAAAGACTGTGCCCCACACTGCAGCTACTTAACTGGAAACAACAAAGGGGACAGAGACGTGGGTGCTGCTTCAGATGCCCCTGATGGACACTCTGCACCAAGCTAGAAACTGAAGGTGCTTCTCTGCATCAAAGTGAGCAAGAGTGGGACATTTCACTCTTACTGATATGATCTCAATACCGAAGCTTCCAAAAGTTCATGATTTTAGACAACAGAGCTTCTCAGTGAAGACAACAGACACAGTGATACTGGGAGTTGTTACAACACCTCAGGGGAGAAATAGTTTCCTGTAGCTCTGCAGCTGGCCTCATGTGTGACCCCCAGCTAATGAACACACAGCTATCCCAGTCACCTTTATTGCAATGCCCTGGCATCTCCCATGGTAGATCTGTGAGGTGGGCAATTTTACATATTCAACAGTTACCTCACAGCTGTATCTACTCTCCCTAAAACTTCCTTTGGCAGCAACGCTAAGGTGTTAAATCAGAGTGAGTACTGGTTTTAAATCCAGTAACATCATTTATTACTTCCTCAAAGCCCTTTCAAAGAAGGCCACACAGGCTGAGTGTGGTGGCTCACATTTGCAATCCTAGCACTCTGGGAGGCTGAAGAGGGAGCAGTGCTTGAGGTCAGGAGCTCAAGACCAGCCTGAGCAAGAGAGGGACCCTATATCCACCAAAAATTTGAAAAAATTACCCGGGCATGGTGGCACATGTCTGTAGTTCCACCTACTGTAGGACTACAAATGGGTGTAGCCTGCATGGAAACCAGTGTGGAGATTCCTCAAAGAACTAAATGTAGACCCACCATTTGATCCAGCAATCCCACTGCTAGATACTTATCCAAAGGAAAAGAAGTAATTTTATCAAAAAGAGACCTGCACTCAACTGTTTATTGCAACATAATTCACAATTGCAAAGATATGAAATCAACCCAAGTGCCCATGAATTCATGCTCAATTAATAAAATGTGGCACATGTACGTCATGGAGTATTGCTCAGCCATGAGGAAGGATGAATTAAGGCCTTTGAAAAAATTTCAATGGGACTAGTGACCATTCTTTTAAATGAAGTAACTAAAAAATAGAAAAGCAAACATCACATGTACTCAGTATTACACTGGAGCTAGCTGATAAGCACACGTGCAGAGAGGAAGTAAAGCTCAGAGACTGTGCAGCTACTCAGAAAGCTGAGGTAGAAGGATCATTTGAACCCAGGAGTTCCAGGCCGCAGTGAACTATGATCAGGTCACTGTACTCCAGCCTGGGCAACAGAGTAAAATGTAATAGTAATAATGAGGCTGGGAACAGTGGCTCACTCCTGTAATCCCAGCATTGTAGGAGGCTGAGGCCAGTGGACTGCTTGAGCTCAGGAGTTTGAGACCATCAGGAACAAGAGGGAGACCCCATCTCAACTAAAAATAGAAAAAATTATCCAGGTATGGTAGTGGCACCTAAATAGTCCCAGATACTAGGGAAGCTGAGGCAGGAGGATCATTCTGAGCCCAGGAGTTTAAGGTTGCTGTGAGCTATGATGATACCATTGCACTGTAGCTGGGAAGATGGAGACTCTGTACCATACACACATACAATCTCAAAAGTAATAAAACAAAAAAGCAAAAATTAAAAAAGATACATTTTAAAAATTAACAAAAATTAAGTGAAAATAAATAATTGGCTTGGGCAACAGAGCAAGACCCAGAGTCAAAAAAATTAAATACACAAATGAATAAAAAAAAATAAAGCTAGTACACTTAGATTAATGCTAGACAAAACATTACCAAGTACAGAGATCCCTACATAAAGATCAAGGTTCAGTTCCCATGGCAACTGCAACTGTAAACTTACATGTCTCAAATAACCCCAGAATATATATAGAATAAGTTGATAAGAAATAATAGATAAACCCATAATCATAATAGGAGATTAACATATGCCCTCTCTAAAGGATTTCTAAAAATCAGGAAAAACAGAGAGCTCTGTGTGACTTGACTGAATAGCCCTGAGCTGAGGGACACACTGGGCTGTGGAGCAGGAGGATTCCTGAGCTCAGGAGCTCAAGGACGCACTGCCACTACACTCTAGTCTGGGCAACAGAGTGAAACTCTGTATAAAAAATAAAATAATAAAACAGAAAAAAAACACACAAGTAAAAATAATGTTAAGGCAGGTCATGCACAGGGGCTCACGCCTACAATCCTGGCACTCCGGGAGCCTAAGATGGACGGATCACTTAAGCTCAGGAGTTTGATACTAGCCTGAGCAAGAGTGAGACACCATCTCTTAAAAATAATAACAACAACATAAAATAAAGTAAAATGAAATAACTTGTAGGATGCAGGAGAAGTCGTAATTAGAAGAAAATTTATAACCTTATGTGTATCTACTAAAGCACAGAGAAGGCTGAAAACAAGGCTGGCATCCATCTTGAGAGCTTGGAAAAAGAACCAAATAAGTACAAAGAAAGTAGAAGGAAAAAAATATTGCAAAAATTAGTGAAACAGGGAATAGCAAACACTATCCAAGTCAAAACGTGGTACTCTGAAAACACTGTTTACACATGCTTCTGACAGTTTTTTTAAAAAGGGTATTATTAACTACCTTATGCTAATAAATTTGAAAATTTAGTAGTAATGGCCAAATTCCTAGAAAACTGTATCATCAAACTTACTAGTAACATAAAACCAAAATCAATACTCAAAAAACTTTCCCCAAAAAGAAAATTCCAAGTCCAGAAGGCTTCCTTACCAAATTCTACCAAACCTTTAGGAAGAAGTAATTTCATGATTAAGCAAACTCTCCGAAGAAGAGGAAAATGGAAGCAACAACTCCTTTTATAAGCGTAACAAAACCTTAATACCAAACTCTGATAAGGTCTAGTCCTATAGGTCAATCTCAGTCACAAATATAGATAAAAAATGCTTATATAACATATCAGAAAAACGTAATCCAATAATATAAAATGATCAACTTAAGTTTACATCAGGAATGCAAAGTTGGTTTACAATTAATGTTATTCTGTCAATGTGGTAAATTATACGTCAACAGATATTTAGGCTCGGCGCCTGTGGCTCAAGCGGCTAAGGCGCCAGCCAC